TAGGAACCGAACCTCCTGGATACCCGGGATTATATGTCTGTTTCGGATTGGTTAAAATGTTGTTGCTTGCGTAATATGATTGGACAGCTCGCAACCATTCATTGATGCGTTTTGACAGGCCGTCATGTCGCTCGTGATGTGCATTGACGGGCCGGTCTTGCTACTGAAGTTGGTGTAACGAGGCTAGTCTACATTTAAACAGCAAGCAAGCATCGAACGAGCGCAAGGCGCGCGCTGAGCAGAAGCCGAGCGAGAAGCGGACCCGCGCAGCAGCCCAGAAAAAGACGCAGCGCCAAGGTAATCGTCCCTCCTCCAACACACGGCACATTCTCAACGCAGGAAATCTTGCCGATCCACAGTCCGCACCATCATCAAGCACCCCCAACTACATGCCACTCGCAAGTCTGCGTCCTGGATTAGGCGCCAATCCCATCCAGGCGCAGGTTGTCTCCAAGACGTACGCCACGCACGTCTTGCCGACAACCTGCGCCTGGATGGGATTTGCGCATAGTCCAGGACGCAGACAAATAGCTGGGTAGCACTGGCTGGGTAGGGTCTTGTTTAGCCTTGACTAGTATTTTGCCTTGACACGCTTGCGTGCCTACGGTAGTGCCACGTCAAATAATATCATCGTAGTTATTCAACACGAAACGTATGCACGACAGACACGCCTCATGTAGTAACTTGTGCTCGCGAATAGGGCGCGCTCGGTGCGGATGCGGCTCGTGCGCCATGGTCGGGTGCGTTGATGCGCGAGTCAAAGGCCGTCGACCTGTACGTGCGTGTCATGAGGACATAGTTGACCGCCAACTTGATCAAGTCGAGCGGAAAGTGCCACAAGATCGACCAGAGCCAGGCAATTACCACCACCGCAGCCGACAATCGCAATGCGGTCACTCGGATACCCGTGAAAGTGTACTGTACCCAATCAGCGACGCCACGACTTCCACACAAATACCAGCAGTAGGAGATCTGTTCTGCCGGGCTCATACCTCTTTTTTCATCAAGATTGTTTTTTGGACGACTTGCTAATGAAAGCAGAATCAACGTGGGCCGCAGCCCGATGGCAAATAGCAATGGATCGATGGCGTAAATGTGGGGTCGAAAATGGCTCTTCAAGATCCGAATTGGACCAATCAGAAAGCGCCAAGAAGCCGATGCGGATCAACGCGAACGGCGCCATCACAGGACGCACCAGGCTATTTCGATTTATTGGGAGTCCACATTAATCTATTTTGATTGACAACAAGTCAAGTCGGATTCTTAACACCCATTTGTGGCTGCTCAAAGTTCCTGGATGACTCGAGAGACAGCCAGTGATGCCTCAACGACAGGGCGCAGACGCACGTTCCAATCACGAGAGCCGCCTCGCAGCCACGTCAATACACACGCGAGTCAACTGTAGCGATGGGGCTCTTATCATTGAAGAGCACGGGCCATAGTACTACCACCGTCGCCATTGCAACGGTGCATGCAAGAGGGGGGAAACCTCTATCAATACATGATTTCATGGATGCAGTGTGGAAGTGTATTAAAAGAAACAGTATTTTCTGAAACGGTTGTTACCGTGGGTTTCGACCACATACAAAATCCAAGTCTAGCCCTACTCGACGTCGCGTGACAGCCGACGACGATGGACACGCTTGTGGAGCGCTCGTTGACCAAGATCCGCAAGCTCACGGGCCGCAGCCAGCGCGACCTGCGCGAGGCCTGCGACGCGATCCTGACCAAGATCGCGTCGGCCAAGAGCGCGGGCCCGAGCCACCTCGAGGAGGCCGAGGTCTTCTGGCCGCTCCTCCTTGCGATCCTGGGGCGCCAGCCCAAGCAGGCGTCGCAGGCGCTCGACTGCATCGAGAAGCTCATCTCGTACGGGTACCTCCGCGGCAGCGGGAACGTGACGCCGTCGATTGCCGAGAAGCTGCCCATGGGCGCCGCCAAAGACAAGGAGACTGACGACGCGAACGCCAAGGTCACGCTCATGGACGCGGTCGTGACTGCGATTTGCAGCTGCAACGACCACCACGACGAAGAGGTCCAGCTCCAAGTGCTCAAGGCCGTGCTGCAAGCCGTCACGAGCCAGAAGTGCGAGGTCCACGAGCACTCGCTCCTCAAGTCGGTTCGCGCGTGCTACCACATCCACCTCGTGAGCAAAAACACGATGAACCAGACAGTTGCCAAGGCCACGCTGCAGCAAATGGTCAGCGTTGTCTTCCAGCGTATGGAGTTGGCCGAAGAGGAAGCCGCGCGGGCGGCCAAGCCGTGCGAGACCAAGCCGCGTGAGACCAACGATGCTGGCATTGCGACGCAGCGCAGCGAGTCGTCGTCTAGCATGGACAAGCTCTTTGTCGCGTCGGCCAGCCAGCCCATGTACCCCGGTACGCCACACCGCCCTATTATCTCCATGACGTGGCTCTTATACGAAACGCACAGATGTCATGCGCTGCCTGCAGATCGAGTACCACGAAACGCCAATGAAGGCGCCTCCGCTCGGCCTCGAAGCACTGGTGATCGACGACGACGACGCTGCTGCGTCCAAGACACCGGCGATGCCCGCCTCGAACGCCTTTACCTCTTCGTTCCAGAAGGATGCGTTCTTGCTTTTCCGGTCGCTCTGCCGCATCTCGATGCGGTCGCTGGCCGAAGACGCCGCATCAGGGGCGTCGACGAGCATGACAAGCGCGGGCCCGAACCAAGGTGCGGACGACCCGTTTGCGTTCCAGAGCAAGCTCGTGTCCCTCGACCTGCTCCTCTCAATCCTCAACCACAGCGGCCCGGCGTTCCGGAGCAGCGACAAGTTTCTCCAGCTCGTGCGGCAGTACCTCTGCGTCTCGCTGTTGCAGAACTGCACGTCCAACTACACGCAGATCGTCGAGCTGAGTCTCCGCGTCTTTGTCGAGCTCATTGCGCATTTCAAGGCGCACCTCAAGGCCGAGATTGAGGTGTTCATCACCAACATCTTTCTTGGGATTCTCGAAAGCGAGAATTCGAGCTTGGACCACAAGCTGCTCGTGCTCGAAGTGCTCAAGCAAATCTGCGCCGACGGCTCGATTCTCGGCGAGATCTTTCTCAACTACGACTGCGATTGGAACTCGATGGATCTCTTTAAGCGCATCGTGAATGCGATTTCAAAGATCGCCAAGGGCAAGAAGGACGCACCGGGCGCGACGGCCAACGGCGCCAACCAAAAAGTCCGTGGCGCGATCTTGCCCGAGACGATGCTCGTCATCAAGGGCCTCGACTGCTTGACCGCGACGGTCGCGTCGCTTAAAAAGTCGGCCAATTTCACCGCCCTAGACAAGAAGGAGAAGGAAGCGCTCGAAGCACGTATGCCGATATTCGCATAATGGGTTTGCATGCTCATTATGGCATGTGTAGGCGATGACTCGGACGACGACGAAGCCACTGGTGGCGAGAAACCGGCGCCGGTACACGCACCCAGCACGCCGCACCACTTGTCGCCTGTCGAAGCGTTTGACCGCAAGAAGAAGCTCCAGGAAGAGCTCGCCGAAGGCATTCTCAAGTTCAATCTGAAACCCACCGACGGCATCAAGTTCCTCGTCGCGCGCGGTCACATGGAAAACGCGCCAAAAGACGTGGCCCGGTTCATCCACGAGCACAACGCGCGCTTGGACAAGACGATGGTCGGCGACTACCTCGGGAAAGAAGTGCAGTACCAGAACGGGTTTTGTCTCAAAGTGCTCCACGAATTCGTCGACGTGATGGATTTCGGGTCCGTCGGATACTTGTGCAATGGATATCGATATATGGATAGTGATGGTATATGGATATAGGGGCATGGAGATTGACGTGGCGATCCGTCATTTTCTCGCCGGCTTTCGCCTTCCCGGCGAGTCGCAGAAGATCGATCGGATGATGGAAAAGTTTGCCGAGCGGTTTTGCTACCACAATCCAGGTGTCTTTACGTCGGCGGACACGGCGTTCATTTTGAGTTTCTCGATCATTATGCTCCAGACGGTACGGTGGAGCCTCCAGCTTGACCTGCTTTTTTATCCGTGGGATCTTATCGATGCTAGGATCTGCACAATCCGTCCGTCGTGGAAGAGAAGAAGATGAAGAAGCACCAATTCATCGGCAACAACCGCGGCATCAACAACGGCGAAGACCTTCCGCCCGAGTTTCTCAGTGGCATCTACGACCGCATCAAGGAAACGCCGATTTCGCTCAAGGAGGACCTCGATCTGCAAAAGAAGTTTACGCCTCAAAACGGCAACGTCCAGTCGACCGACAAGCAGCGCCGCGAAGCGTACGGGAAGGAACGCGAGGCCATGGTCAAGCAGTCGGAAGCCATTTTCAAGCGCCGCATTCCCGCGTCGACGCCGCGCGACGCCGCGCAACGGCAGCGGCAGCAACAAGATGCAACCCGCGGGCTTTCAGCTCATTACGGAGCAAACCGAAGTGTCGTACGTCCGCCCGATGTTTGAGATTGTGTGGGCGCCGCTCTTGGCGTGCTGCAGCGTCATTTTCGAGACGTGCGACCAAGCGAGCGCGGTTGCCTTGTGCCTCGACAGCTTCAAGCACGCGATCCACCTCAGCTCTCGGTACTGCACTTGAACTACTATTCCGACATGTCCATACCGTCGCGTAGGCTCAACATGCCGTCGGAGCGTGACGCGTTCGTGTCGATTCTGTCCAAGTTTACGGGTCTCTCGACGTCCAACTCGCGCGAAATCAAAGCCAAGCACGTCGAGGCGATCAAGGCGGTGGTCGCTGTCGCTGTCAAGGAAGGCAACCATCTCGGGGATGCCTGGGTACGTGCTGCCTCGCACATATGGATGCGCATACGGACCGTGTGTAGCGTGAGATTTTGCAATGCCTCTCGCACCTCTCGCGGCTCCAAGCGGTGGCCGAAGGCGCGGGCACCGACCCGCATTTCTTCAAGCAGACGACGACACCAACGCCCAGCCTCGCGACCCCTGGACGTACGCCACGCTATTTTATACATGGGTATCTCCAACTCGACGTGTCTAGTCGGCGGCTCGTTCAAGCTCTTTGCACGGGGCAGTGTGGCCAACGGCGTGCTCGGGGTGGCAGGCGCGCCGTCGCCGTCGCCGTCGACGTTCGAAGACCTCCTTATCTCGCACGCGGCGCTCGAGGAGGAGAACGCGGCGCGCGTCACGGCCGAGATCGACCCGCTTCAAGTCGACCGCGTCTTTAGCTCGAGCGTGCACTTGAGCAACGCCGCGATCCAAGAATTTCTCTTGCAGCTCTGCGTCGTCTCGCTCACCGAGTGTGCCGGTGTCTCTGGCCGCGTACGTTATCCGTCGTCCTTGAACGTATCGGTCTCAGAGGGAGATATCCCATAGGTCTTGAGCTCGCGCGATATGAACCAAAGCGCGGCGCCCCGTGTCTTTTCGCTCCAAAAGCTTGTCGAAGTCGCGGACATGAACATGCACGCTCGGTCCCGCGTCGTGTGGGCTGCCATGTGGAAGGGTAAGAGGCCGCAGCAACCAGATCCGAGTGCTCATGGGGTTTCTCGTAGTGCTCTCGCGCCACTTTACAGCCATTGGCTGCGACGACAATCTGAGCATCGCCATGTACGCGATCGACTCGCTCAAGCAGCTCAGCATGAAGTTTCTCGAGAAGGACGAGCTCCGGGACTTTAACTTTCAGCGCCTCTTTTTAACGCCGTTCGAGATCATCATGGCCAACGCCATGTCGATGGAGATCCGCGAACTCGTGCTGAGGTACGCAATATAGTTATAGCTCATGCGGTCTACGACGCGTGGTGTAGCTGCGTGCAAAACATGATTCTGGGCCGTGTCCGCAACATCAAGTCGGGCTGGAAGACGATCTGGGGCGTCCTCCGCGTCGCGGCCGAGACGTACGACCACCTCGACGGCGACGACCGCATTGTACAAATGGGCTTTGCGATCTCCAAGATGATTCTCGAGACACATTTCGACCGCGTCGTACGCATCCCTATCCTCCAATCGTTTACGACGAAGCACGGCTAGGTCTCGGTCTTTGTGGACGCGATCGAATGTTTGCTGGCGTTTGCCGTCTGCGGCGTCGAAGAAGCGTCGGATGTGGCGGCCAATAGCAACTTGACCAAGATGGCGAAGGAAGCCATCCACGTGCTGGAAGTGTGCCTCACGCAGCTCGCGACCGGCCACGTCATCGAACAAGTGCACACCGACTCGCCAGCCAAGCGCACGACGTTCCGATCGCAGCTCGCGCTGCGCACGCACGTGCTCAATAGCGCCAACGAGGACGCGATCCGGTACCAAAAGGAAGAATCGGCCGACGACCTCGTGAGCGACGCGCCCATGTCGCCGCGCGTGACACCCGTCACGGCCATCTACACGGACTCGCAGCTGCACACGCGTCTTTGGTTAGTTCAAACTATCGACGGCAATAGTATGCGACGGTCTCGGTAGGTGGCCCATCTTGACGGCGCTTTCGACGCTCAGCTGCGACAAGCGCGTCACCGTGCGCGTGATGGCACTCGATACACTCTTTAGCTCTCTGCACCGACATGGCCCGAAGCTCTCGCCGGGTCTCTGGAGCATTGTCTTCAAGGGCGTTTTGATTCCGCTCGTACACGATACTATCTTGGCGTTGGGACATACACAAGAGGCGTGACTAGATTGGCGACATTCGCGTGCTCGAGTCGACGTGGCCGGATGCAAAGGGCAGCGCGGCCACGAGCACGAGCAAGATGGCGCTGCTCAAGGTCGCCCACCTCTTTGGCGTCTATTACGACGCGATCGGCTTTCTCCCCGAGCTGCTCTTTGCGCTTTCGGCGTGCATGGTCGACGAGTCGGAAGCAGGTAGTCCATATTTCGATGCACCACAGGATGGATTGTCTATTGCAGATCTGGCGTGCGCGGCCGCCTCGACGCGTCGACGCTCGAGACGCTTCTCGTCACGCACGGCAGCAAGTTTCCCGAAAACGTCTGGGGCCTCATTGCCGACGAGCTTCGCCATGTGATGCAGCTCACGCAGCCCACGTGGTACGATATGACGACGCTACATGATGCATGGTCCAAGAGGATGATGGTATGTAGGGTGCTGGCGGATGCGCCGGCCATTGCGTCGCCCCGGGCGACCGCGCCCATCTTGTTTTCGCCGCGGTCGCGCAAAGAGACGTACCCGCCAACGTTCATTTCCATGTATCCGAGCGTCCTCGCTGCGCTGCACTTCAAGTTTCACTCGCTCCCGCGCACGGAGGAAGCGCGCCCGGCGACGGGGTATCCGAGCAAGAACCACCTCCTCGTGCACCTCTCGCTGCAGGTCGCGATCGGCCACGTGCTCTCGAGCAAGCTCCCGGCCGGCCTCGCGGTCTCGGACGGCCACTTTGACGCGCTCCTGCAGAGCCTGCGCGAGAGCTACGTCTTTGCGCGCAAGGTGAACGACCGCATGGACGTGCGCACGACGCTGACGCGCGCGGGATGGGTCTACCCGATGGCCAAGCCCGAGGCGGACCTCAAGTCCAACTTGCTACCCCAAGAGCTGAACGGGAAGCGCGAGTACCTCAAGGTGCTGTTCAGCCTCCTCGCGCACACCAATGACGAGGCCAAGAAAACGGACGCACGCCGTCAAATGACAGAGTACGTCGTCGTCCGAACCTCTAAAAGAATCTGGATGGATACGTCCAATGTAGTTTGGTCAAGCGTGTGCTGTGCGAGTACCTGCAATGGAGCCGGCACAACAGCAGCAGCGCCGAGCACGGCACCGAGACGACGGACGTGACGCTCGACGAGCAGTGGCGGTCCATTAGCTACGTGCCGGCGGTCGTCGACATTCTTGTCGCGCTCGAAGGGTGGCCGACGGACGAGTGGAAGCGCCACGTCCAGTGGCTGTACCCGCTGCTCATCGACCTCATCAAGACCAACGACAAGGACGTGCGCAACGCGCTGCACACGGTCCTCGCCCACAAGGTTGGCTCGTTGCTGGCGTAGTTGCCAAGCCTACCACGACGACGCGATAATGGAATCTTGCTGTTTGCATGACACGGCGATGGATCGCGAACCGTCGTGTCAGAACTTTAGACGCGCCGTCCGAGATGTAGGGCCAGGTAGAGACAGTCGACCTCCTCGAACCGGCAACTGGCATTCTCCGCGAGAGGAGGGCAAGGGTTTCAAGGTCGAGGTTTTGGGCGTCAGTCTTTGGTCGTCAATTGCTGCTAAAGTTGCGCGCGAGGGCTCGTAACTGCGAGGACAATGGGCCGAGTCATCGAGTATATTACAGCGCCAGCTGAGTTGCGCCTACAGGCGGGACCAGGTGGTCGTGGTTAGGGCGACCTGTCTACGCACGTGATTCGAAATATTAATATGCAACTCAACACCTCTCGCAATAAAATTGCATGGTCGACAGCAGCGGCGGCAATTAAAATGAGATATTTTAATCCATCGGTTCGTTGTAGGGACATATCGCGCGCCCTTCTTCTCTACCCAACGTTCTGATGTCAATTGTGACCCATTGCACGAACCAAGTACATTATCACGCGATAGCACGAGAGCATTGGCGTATCATCCCACGGTATATGTACTTGATTAGAGGAATTCCGGCCACACCGCCCGCCGCTACGTAAACAGGAGCATACTGAGACGTGCGATGATGACCCAGTGGTGGGGACCGGCGATCATTTCGCATTTCGCCGCCACGAACGAATGACGCTGGCCGCACCACCGGCCTTTGGCCGACCGATGCTCCTGCCGCCGCTCACGTCGACGTTGTCGCCGTCGATCGCTCAGCAGATGAAGCAGTCGCGGCCGCTAACACCGCTCGCACCCTTTCCATACCATGACGAGCGGTCGCCCGTCTTCACGACGCCCCGCCACGAGACGACTTCGACCGTGCACGCGCTTCAGCCGCCCTTCCCGCACTACGAGCCGAGCTACGCGTCACCGCTCGCCCACCGCCCGCGCCTCCCGCCGGCCTCGTGGCTACTTCAGAAACCCGAGCTGACGTACTACGAGTACGCAGCGCCAAGCCCCGTGTACCATGCGCCGCCACCACCACCCCATCGTTTGTGGCGCCACCACCGACGACTGCGACCATCGACGAGGTGCGCGGCGAGTGCCTCGACGCCCAGTGCC